TTTTTGCAACGAAAAACATAGAAAAAAATACATCATGACTTTTCTGACAACCCAATAGATTGAAACTACTTGACTTGGAGCTGATGGGTCCTGGAAAAAAACACTATTCTCCAATAAAAAAATAAAATAAAAAATAAAAACCACCGACTCCCTAATGTTAAGAAAATTCACTTATTCACTAAAAAAGTAATACATTTTTCCAGCTTTACTAAGATATAATTGACATATAACATTATGTACGTTTAAGGTGTATGATGTAATGATTTGATATATGTACATATTGCAAAATAACACTACTTTAGACTCTGTAACACATCAGATGCATAATTCCTTGATGCTCTCTCCACTACAGGGATTGTACATCATCCCACACCCCTCCCTCAAACATTGCTTCATTTATGCTTTTTTTGCTGATAGCGCATTCAGTGCCGTATATAGTAGCGGCCTTCTTTCTATAATAGTGTAATAATTTCCAGATATAAAAATTCCCAAACTCTGTTAAAACAATTAGTAGTTTGATGCAATGTAAATTTACTTTTAGACTTTTCTTCCATTTCTAAATATGTGGGTTTAACAATTGTTAAAGTTAAAAATACTAATATTTAGCTTATCACCCACAATCTTCTACCACTAGGGTGTCCCTGTCAATAGTCAATTATGACTCTGCCAATAATCAATTATTCTATTTCTGCTTGTTTAAGACTGTTAATGGAATTGTATGTCGGTGCCAATATAGTCTAGAAAGGCCAATAAGAAATATTAAATCTTTCTAACTCTTTCTTTTAAAGAGTATTCTCTCTAAAACACAGCACATCACAAACACTAGGGAACTGGGCTACCTGCATGCAGATGGTCCTCCAGTAGGGGGTAAGTGGGGGGAATAGCTTAGGGGACCTATTACAGTGTATCTCAGAACACCTGCTTCACAGCCACCCAAAGAGTTGCTATAAAAATTAGGTTTTCTTGGGCCCTATCAACAGATGTAGACTGTGGGGATGAGGCCAGAAATCTGCATTTTTAACAAACTCCCAAGTAATTTTATTGCACACTATGTCTGAGAAATACACATAACTCATCACAACAACCTACTTACATGGGTAGCCAAGGAAACAAAGAGTTGAGAAGTTTCCAGATTACTTTAAAATACATAATCAAAAGTTCTACAGCAGAAGAAGATCAATAATTGTTATTGCATATAAAGATTCATCTTCCTAGTTCTGGAATGACAGGTGGCTATGAGAAAGTAACTACTGAAAAACTATGTTATCAATGTTAAAAAAACTTCAAGTGATCTTTAAAATAAAAATTTCTTATTCCTTATAAATACTTGTCATATAGTAATATTTATTATGGTTAGAGTAGGGAATAAGTCCAATCAGTTCCAATTTTTTCCTGCATTAACTGCCAACACCAAAAAGCTTAGAGTTACTACTTTCCATCTACAACATTAAAATCAATGACACATTCCTTGACTCTGCAGAATGTTGATCTTAAGTTGACAATGGCTAAAATATCTTTTTATGATTATCTTAAGAATATCACTTATTTTAATGTGCAATATTTTATACAATAAATTTTATTAAGATGAGAATGTTTTCCCAATCATTTTGGTAGTTACTGGATAAATTAACTTTGAATATTTAAATTTATAAAAGCTATTTCATGATTTCATTAATTACTGTTCCTTGGAAAACATTATAGTCAATTAAAAACAACAAAGTCTCTCAAATATAAAGGTCCCGAATATGAATCTAGCAGCACCACTTACTACCTGTGTGACCTTGGACAAATTACTTAACCTTTCTAAGCCTCTATTCCTTATTGGGAGGATTAAATAATATATGTAGAGCACTTAGTGCAGCACCTAGTACCTGTCTGTCCCCAGTAAACATTAGCCCATATAAACATATACACAAGGGTCTCTTTGAAAAAACACACAAGAAATTACCAACAATGGTCGCTTCCAAGAAAAGAACTTGGGATCAGGGTGGAAATACTACACCTTCTTGTACTCCTTGTGTTTTTATCCAGTGCTTAATAACTTTTCAAAAAATAAAAATGTTTAAAATTATCTCTTGTGCTGTGGGATTTCTTGGTGTTTAGCATAATGCACTGCAAAAAATTGTCACTGCTGAATTCGCAAAGGAATAAGTCATAGTCTAGTAATACCATAAAGAAATACACAACCTATCTGATTTCTTGAATCTGTTAGGTGTTCTGACTTGCTTCACAATAGCCTTAATGGTCTGAACTGAAACGCCTTAAACCAGTGATTTTTCAACCTGGGATGATTTTGTCCCTCAGGGGACATTTGGCAACGTAGACATTTTTGGCTGTCACAACTGAGGGGGTGTACTACTGGCATCTGGTAGGTAGAGGCCAAGAATGCTGCTCAACAGTCTACTGTGCACAGGATAGGCCCACACAACAATAATCCACCCAAAACGTCAGTGCCAAGGTGAGAAACTGCAACCCAAGGAACCATTCTGCACAACTCTGAAAGGAACCAGGTTCTTCATTACAGTCCCCAACAAGCCAGAACACACACACAATAAATTCTCCCCTCAAGTAATGAAGTAAAATCCTTAAGGACTAACATACTAGGGGCTCAATAAATGTAACCATTGTTGGCCACTGCTGTTGTAAGTTTCTGAAATTCTAGCAGCTAGAATGGCTTACAGGTTTGTGTATCTACTAAACTCAATACATTTCAAGATTTTTAAAGCATTTATTATAAAGCTTTCCAAATGTTCACTCTGAAAGATTTCAAGAGATTACAGGCTACCATTCTTTCCTGTTTTCAAATGATATTTGAAGAACACAAAGCTCAAACAGTGTACTACACTAAATACAACAGGGTCTTTATTTTAGTATGTAGTTATCAAGTCCTTCCAATAAACTTGATATTTTTACATTTCACTTAATGCACTGCCTTGGCCTACTATTTTGAACATTTTGAGCACGTTAATCAAAATCCCTCAAAAGTTTAAGAAAATATTAAGAACAGTACATTGTTTCTGATTAAGAAGGCAAGGAAAGCAGCTAAGTAACTTTTTAATGAGACTTGAAAAATTACAAACTAAATCATCCTCTCTTCCAACCTTAAAACATATTTTAGTGTGCATTATCAAAAGTCAACCATTAAAAAAGAGCTTTGAGAAATGTTTTAACAATATTTGGAATTAATCCTGTAAAAAAAAATAAAGAATGCAGAACTGAACCAAGTGTCTATCAAAATCTATAACTTGCTTTCAAGTGGGTAGAGAGAATATATCTGAAATATTGTCACTAACATTGTTATTAGTCATACTTTATTTTCTTAGTAACTGCGAAATTTTAACATCTTTTAAAACGTTTACCTTTCCCATTATGTAAGACGAGTACTGTTTTAATACTAATTTAGCATTTTAATACTGTTTAATAGTTCACTACATAATAAAAACTTATACTGATTAAAAAATGTTTAGGGAGACAAAAATTAATTCCTTCCTCCAAAACAAACCAAAAAATTACACAGAAAAGGTGTTCGCAAGTATAAGGTGCAATAAGGTTATTATTCTTTCATTGCTTTTCCAATACATTTTTCGTGGTGGACATAGGTATCACTAGAACTTCATTCACTCCAAGTCACTCCCCCTGAGCATCTATAACTTTAATATTTGTCTAAATCTGCTCGCTCATGGTCTAATAATAAACCTAATTATACAATCTGTAACAGTCCCTGACAACCTTTTCCTTAAGAAGCCATAAAGGTGATTTAACTAACACCTCAAACTCTCAGTAAATCTAATTCAAAAACAGATTTCTTCATTCTAGCCTTTGGCTTCCGCCGAGGGCTAAAGGCAGCTGGCTGGCTGTAGAGTGGGGAGGTGAGAATTCGCCTGAACTGAGGACACACGCTGGGCGCTGGACAGCAGGGGTAACTGCTGGTTCATTTCTCTTTAAATCTGGCAGCACGTGGGGCGGCATTGTGAAGCCACCAACCCACCTCCCCCCTTACACTCCGCACACGTACATCTCCAGCGCGCATGCTCCGCTCACACAGTCCTAGCAGAGTAGGAGCCAACCCCCTAAAAAGTCAACCTGGAAGCCGCAAACGGCCGGAGGCCGGGACAATGGGGGAGGGAGGGCGCAGACACCTCTGGTGGGGCAGACCCGGCCGCCGCCCCAAGCCAGAGCCCGCGGGCCGCAGCCCCAGAGTTCTGCAGGCCTGCGCAGGAGCCGGAATCGCTCCGAGCACAAAGCCCCGAGCCGGCCAGCGAGCGGCTCTCGACTCTGCCCGCTCCTACCCTCCCCCAGCCGGGCGGCGCAGCCGGAGACCGTGCCAGGCAGAGGCAGGCGAGGCGGCGTCCCGCACCCCGCCAGGTTCTCAGACCCCCGCGCGCTAGCGACGAGGCCGCGGAGGCCGGCGCTTTGTTGTCCGCCACAACTCCGCGGACCCGGCGCTGCCCGGGCAGAAGTTTTGCGCGCCTCACCTATCCAGCCAGGGGCCAGTTTCTTCGCCTGCTCTCGCCCCCCGCTGCCCGCCCGCGCGGCGCAGACACCCGAGTCGGGGACTCGCAGCTAGGCGGGCCCAGACACTCCCTTGTGCCCCCCAAGGGTCCAGCAGCTTCGGCGACACCTGAGCCCGGGACCCGCCCCTCCTGGGAGGGTCGGTCAGGGATAGGGACCCACAGCCCCTCCCCCGCAACGTCCCACCCAGCAGTGGGGGAGGGGGCAGTCTCCCCTCCTTTCCACTGGGCACCAGGCCCGGTCCCAGCGCTGAGGCTGGGGCGCGTCCCCGCCCCCAATACCCTCCAAAAGCCGGGGAAGAAGTGCTGGGCCCGGCCGTGACCGGCGCTTCGGGCTTCCCAACCTTGCAGGCCCGCACCCGGCCTCGCCGGTGGCTGCCGCTCCCCTTTGGCCGTCCAGCCGCCGGCCCGGGAGGAAAGGAGGAGGTAAGCCGCAGCGGCTCGCCACGATCGCGGCCCGGCCCGGCGCCCTGCCGCCCGCCCTCTCACCTGCCAGCTGTCTTCGCAGTAGCAGTGCCGACTGCAGCTCCGTCATCCTCCCCGCCAAGGGCCCGGGCTGGCGCCGGGGCTTTCGAAGGGCCGGAGACAGGCTCTGGGGGCTGCTGAAACTGGGTGTGCTGAGGAACCCGGGCCCCCACTACGGGAGCGCCGAAGCCGAGGGAGGCCGGACTGGGGCGGCAGTAGCGGCGCCTCGCTGCCGGTGCGAGTCTGCTCGGCTCAGCTCTCCTCACAGCGCCTCACGCCCGGAAGGGGAGGGTACCCGGGCCGCCGCGGCGCGCACTGGGACTTCGCTCGCCTGCTTCCCTCCTTCAACCCGCGCGTCGGCCCCACCGGTGCCTTCCCCCGCCACTGCCTCACTGCGCGCAGGGCCGCTCCGCGCAAGCGCGCTGGGGCTGCCTACTTTGGGATCGGCCAGCCCGCAAGCCCTACCCCTCTGCCTCCCTGCCCCGCCTCCCGCGACAGGATCCCGCCCCCTACGCTCAATTGCCCAGGTCGCCGCCATCTTGGGAAGGTCGACGCCCGGCTGACCGCCAGGGCCTCTGGCGGTAGACGCCCCGCAGACGCCATGACAAAGAGGTCACGGAGGGTCAAGACAGCCTCTGGGTAGAAGCAGGTGGTCTGGGAGCGAAGACGCCAAAAGAAGTGGAAGATGCCTAGTTGTTGGTGAGCACCCAACAGCCATCTAACACTCCACCCATGGTGTGCGAATTAGTCATTGTTAAAGCTGAATTTAGTACTGGTGTGCCCCATTTTAAGCAAACCCCCCAAATAGACAACATATGCTGGTAATTCACTTTACAGAAAGAATGCACAGATTCTTCAAATAAGCAAGATGTTCTGCATCTCCTAGTACAAAATGTTTAAACATCGTTAATAATCTACGAGTAAGGGGGAGTTAAGATTACAAAATCTGATCTACACAATTAAAAATTTCATTCAAAAAGGTATCTACTATGTAAAATCAAAGTGTGGGATCTAGGGTTTGGAGAAAACAACCTTCCTCAGCTCTACATCCTCTCGTCCTCATTCCTTCAGCCTTCCGCTTTGCATAAAACAAAATTTCAATAAAGAGATGGAGCAGAAGGAAGCGTAATAAATACTTCACGGCACTCAAAGTTATCTGTTCCATCAACAAATATTTATAAAACCTGTATCAACTTTGTACCTAGACTATAGAAACAGAAATACAGCTCTGTTCCTACTTTCAAAAGGCTTAAAGTCTCTGAGTTACAGGTAAGGTAAACAGCCAGAGGAGGAGCAGATTCCGATACAATTTTTTTTTTTATTATAAAAATTACTGAGGAAACTGTCCTCACTCTCCCTCAGACCAAGAATTAAAAGGAACAAATAAACATTATGAATGAATCCGAGCTGCTTTGGGGACCACACCTCCCAGGGGCTAACCCAGGTTTTGTGAGGCCTAAAGTTTACTGAATTTGAAGGACTCTTTCTAAGGAAAAGATTTTAAAAATAAGGTTCAAAAACGACTATTTATTTAGAATGAGAAAATGAATCACAAAGAACTGTAAGCTTGCGAATTCCATCCCTTTCCCTCAGATCTTTTGAGGTGGGCTATCCGAAATGCTGCCTTTGCAACATGGCTTGCCCTCTCCTCTAGAACAAATTCGAGCCCTCACAGGAACTCTGTAGCTTCCTTAGCTTTGCCTTAAAAAAATCCATTTCCAACAACATCCCTCCTTTCTAGACCAAGAATCTTTCTTTTTAAATAAATTTTTAATTTTATTAAAATAATGTATACATAGTTCATAATCAGTATTAAGACTCAGCAAAAAACAAGCATGTTTTGTCATACCTCTTCCACATTTCTAAATCCTGTTTGCCAGAGGCAATCCCTGTTAACTCTTCTGGTAGTTAGCTCCATTTATTCTAAACAATATACTTAAAATGTTTTTGTCTTGATTTATCTATTTTAGACCTTACATATTTATCCTTGCTGTAACTGATAAGAATTTTCCATCTTACGCTACTTCTCATCTTTTATTCTCCTAATATTAAATCATCATATTTAGTTTTATCAATAAATGATTTTTATAGTATTGTGACTTTATAAATGTTAACTAGGAGAGCCAAAAACTATAATGGATTATAATTATATTTATTCCTTACACAGATTTGGGGGTTGGCCTAGAGTTTCTAATTATACTTTTTTTTTCTTGCAGTATTTTGATTATAATCAACATCCTTCCCTTCCCTACCCCACCCAATTGCTACTGTATTCTATCAAATCCTTTTTCTTGGAAATCTCCCTCCTGGAATCCTCTATATTATGTCTAATCTGTGCTGGTTGCTTTGGGCCATGCCTGGAACATAGAAGTCTTCCTAGGATTTCCTCTGGCTGTTCTGGGCTGAGTCGGCTATCCTGGATCTCAAGTGTAATTTTCTTTTGTTTACTCACTTCTTTTGCTGGAGCAAAAAAAAAAAAAAAAGAATTATCAGATAATTCTGATGAGGCAAATTTTTTAAGATCTTATATGTCCAAAAATACCAAAATTTTTAACATCTATAATTTAATGCCAGTTTAGCTGGGTATAGTATCTATGTTTAAAATCAAATAATTTTTCTTTAAAAATATGAAACCATTGGTCCATCATCTTCTAGCATCCAGTGTTGCTGTTGATTCTTGTTCTGTTGTAGGTGACCTGTTTTTCTTTCTTCTTCTTCTTGGGTATTCTTATGATTTTCTTATTATGTCTAGTATTTTAAAGTATCATTATAACATGCCTTGGTAGGTCTATAGGGCATTTTCTTTTTGTAATTAACTGTGCTTACAGTGCATTTTGTGGTGATACAATGGTTGTTTTCATTTACATATAGAGATAAGCTTAGAATAATGAGAGTCTGTATATAAAAAAATTTTTTAAGATTTTTATTGGGGAATTGGGCAAGGGGAACAGTGTTGGGGAATTGGGGAAGGGGAACAGACAAGTTATTGTCCTTCAATCTTAGTTGTGGAGGGCACAGCTAGCTCAGCTCCAAGTCCAGTCACCAACTGGCTGCCTGCCCGTCAGCAGCTCAACTCCACTCAGCTCAAGGTGCCGTGTTCAATCTTAGTTGTGGGTAGGTGTAGCCCACCATCCCATGCAGGAGTTGAACCAGAAACCTTGTTGCTAAGAGCGCACGCTCTAACCACTGAACAACCAGGCTGCCCGTGGGCAGCTCAGGGCAGCTCAGCTCAAGATGCCAGTGTTCAATCTTAGTTGCCGGTGGGCGTACCCCACCATCCCATGCAGGAGTCAAACCGGAAACCTCGTTGTTAGGAGCTCTCCTGCCACCTGTTGGCAGCTCACCTTAGGCGCAGCTTACTGGCCCATGTGGGAATTGAACCCGTGAACCTCTTGCTCAGAGCTCACACTGTTAACCAACTGAGCCACTCGGCGGCCCCTAAAAAATTTTTGAAACAATTTGTTTTTGTATGTTTATCCAGCAACCTTACTAAACTGTAAATTAATAATTTTTCTATAGATTATTTTGATTTTCTACATAAATATATGTCCAAATTTCTATTCTTTCTATTTCTTTACTAAATAAATAAATAAACAAACAAACATTGTTACTCTTTCTTGCCACACTATGCTAGCTAGGTAGGATCTCCAGCAGAGTTGCATAGAAGATATGGTAGTGGGTATCCTTGTCTTGTTCTAATATTTTTTTCTTTTTTTTTTTAAAGATTTTATTGGGGAATTGGGGGAGGGGAACAGCGTTGGGGAATCAGGGAAGAGGAACAGACAAGTTGCTGTCCTTTTGTTCTTCAGTCTAGTGGTGGAGGATGTCGCTTCACTGGCCCATGTTGGTATTATCATTGCACTCTTCCCGGGTGATGCAGCGGCTCGCTGGCCACTGACGGCCATTCACGGTGGCTCACAGCAGCTCATGAAAGCTTACACCAGCTACCAGCAGGCCAGCCCCACTGCAGCCTACACCAATGCCGGTGACTCACAGCAGCCCAGCTCCAGGTTGAGCTGCTGCTCACCATCTTAGCTGTAGAAGACAGTGCCACTGGCCCCCATGTGGGATCCGAACCGGGGACCTACTGCTCAGAGCTGGCATCCCAAGCCAGCTCTTAACCAACGCACTACTCGGCCGGCCCTACTGTATTTTTTTTATCACAACTTGTAGATACAAATTTGGAGAGATCAGCATTAGGTTGATTAGGGAGAGAGTGTAATAAGTTTTTTTGTTTTTGTTTTTTTTAACACCTAAAAATGAGTTCAGAAGCACATTTGCGGGTAAGGAAGAGGAGGAGGAACCACTGATGGAGGCTGAGAAAGAATTGACAAAGAGGAGAAAAATCAGTGTGTGGTGTTACACAAACCAAGATAGTAGAAAATTTTCCTGTCTTTCTAGGAGAAAGAAATGGTCAACTGCCACATGCTGCTGAGAAGTAGAGAAAGGCAAGGCTGGGAAGTATGCGCCGAATTGTGAAACGGATGTTGTTGACCTTGATAGAAGGATTTTGATGGAGCAGTGTTGACAGCAGTCAGAGCAGACTGGACTCAATGTAAGGTGAGGAAATAGAGATTTCAGTGTTGAGTGCTTAAATGAGGTCATGAACTCAAAGTGGAACCAGTAGGTCCAGTTCAGTAAATTTTTTTTTGCTGGTAATGTTTAGCTGCTCAGGTGCAGGCATGGAGAAGGCTGATAGTGGATATATTTAGGATTGGGGGTTAAATAGTCAAGTAAATATATTTAGAGAGAGGTGGAGACAGACAGGCAAGTTTGTTAAAGGTGTATGAAGAGAGTGACTGTAGTAATGCACTCTTCTCTAAACTGAGTAGAGAAGGAAGGGAAAACAGGAGGGAGCTGATGATTAGTGAAAAAGTGATATAAATAATGGAGCCTTGATAAGATGGAAGAATTATGTGGTGTAGACACTAAAGCAGGTGAGCTGAAAGGATAGGAGATGGTGGATAGGAGAGGTGGCTTGAAATCCAGAATTCAGTTATGGCACGGTCGTTGGTGGTGACATGGTCTCATGTGAACATGAGAGAGGCTAGCTGGTGTGGTGGGGAGGGGAGGACATCAAGGAGGTGACAGACAGGA